AGCAACTTAAGGAGAGCTCGGACAAGGTATGTTGGCTAAACTACTCTCTTAGAATTGAATTCCATGATGTTCCTGTAAGTCTCAAGTATGGTTGTCTCAAGTTCCTTATTCTATGTTCTGAGTTGTTCCCAATAAATTTGATTGTCCCGAATAAGCAAAGTGTCGAAAATTATGTATTCAAAACGTGTTCCGAATGTTTCTATCACATTATGATATCCTTTGGAAATGTGTTCAAGAATGATATGTGTATTAAAATGCTATGTCTTTGAGTCGTGTTTCAAATGAAGGTTATGATGCCAAATTATGTGAGAAAATATCAATATGCTTAAGACTCTTAATTCCTCATATGTGTACCTAAAGTCTTAATTGGAAATGCCTTGTTGTTGATAATGTATAAAGATGCTCGAAAGTGAAAGAAGTGAGTTGGTGATATAAATTGTGGCCACTGTGCCAAGAATGAAAATTATACTTGTGGCTAGTGGTGCCAATGAATTGAGATGATGCGAGAAAGATTATGAAATGAGCTTTGATTCAACTATTCCGAAATTGACTTCGAAAATAGAATTGCCAAAAAGCTTATGGACTCAGGTGATGCCCATATGTGGCTATTTTTAACTAATATTATGCTTTGTAAGTAGTTTCGATGTGTTTTGCGCTCTTACATATTCGTGAGTTGAAATTGTGTATTGCCCTTTTTGGGAAAAAGTATTTCAAGAATAAATGGTGTGTTACTTGTTTATGATTTTAACTTGCGTATTGAATGTCAATAATTTTACTTGATTTCTTGGGAAAAAATCCGTTGTGTTTAAAGTCTTCATTACTAATGAACCTAAAGTTATGATTTTTGAAATATTCTATTTGTCGATATTTATGATGATGATCCATGAATGGAAAGAAATTAAGGTGTGGAATAAGAAATACGGCCAATGTTCCATGATTGAAGAATCATATGTATGGCCAAGAGAGCCAATGAAATAATGATATTGAAAGTTATTGAAAGTGCCAATTAGGTTATATACGGTATGAAAGGTTATGAGGTAAATATATTTGTATTGTAGTTTTCTTTGCAAGCAAATCAAAAAAATATTTTTTGGGAGTGGATTGTAATTATTGCCCTTATTTGGGATGAGATTGATGTGATAAAATTATTTTCCTTAATTAGGATGAGATGATTGATAGAAAAGGATGATGTCGATCCACACGGCATTGTGGTGAGATGGCCTAGCCGATCGGGTCATGATCGGACACCATGCCGCACACGTGGTGGTGATTGTGCTGGAAATTATAATTGAAATTGTAAGTGAAATTGTAATTGAAATTGTAATTGTGGTTGACGTCTCGGATGAGACGGCCTAACCGATAGGGTCGTGATCGGACTCCATGCCAAAAGTACGGTGGTATTGGTATTATGAACGGTGGTATATCGGTGCTAAAGATCTCCCAACCAAAAATAATATTATCTTCGTATTTTGGAAATTATTATGTTTTATCTTGGAAATTGGATATCATTGATTGTTGATTGTTGTTTCCATGGTTTTCCCTTTTATGTTGGCATTCTATTTTGAAAGAAGACAATTAGTTTTACATACTAGTACTATTCCATATGTACTAACGCTCCTTTTTTCGGGGGTGCTGCATCTTTAATGGATGCATGTGGTTCATCAGCGGGGCAGTTTTGGTCCTCATTAGCAGTCACTCTCTATTCAGCAGGTTTGGGTGAGCCCTACTCTATCCCAGGCTTTATGTCATCTGACGTTGTATTTTGTACTATGAGGTATAGTCGGGGCCTTGTCACCGGCACTTCCATTCTTCACTTCTGTTGTACTTAGAGGCTCTGTATACAGGTTATGGGTGGTGTTTGATGTGGGGAATTGAACTAAAGATTTTGGTATTTGGCAAACATGTTTTCATTATATCTATAAACTTGTAATCTTTTGGAAATTATAAATGAAGTTGCTAATGGATATGAAATGGGATTTGTTAATAAAATCTTTTCATTGTTTGATTAATGGAGTTCATCTCCTCTTTATTCATGGATGAGTTTGGGCAGAAAGAAATCTAACAGGCTTGCTCGGTCAGGTTCACTCGGTTGAGCGCCGGTCACGCTCCCCGATTTTGGGGCGTGACAAACTACCCCTTAGGATTTAGGTTGATTGTGCTATTTGAATTATGTGGAAGATGTTTACATGAGATGGCGATCGTGTACATGGGATTTATGCGCAAAAGTTGTCATTACATGTTCTAGCTTCTATTTTCAAAGTTACTCTCATATGCATTGGTGTGTAATTGTTGTTACATGTCATTCTTCCCATTGTTGAGCTAATCTCTTGCATCAACTGAGTTGCTATTTCATGCTATCTTTTTCATTATTAAGCTTACGTTTTGCACTTGAATTTGGTAGTTGTCATTCCTCGGGAAATACCTAAGTATGGGTTATTGAAGTTGTTGTTGTGAAAACTATTAATACAATGAGGTTAAAGTTTTTTAATATTGATATATCGTTCCTTGTTGAGTTATTTCTCATTTATTTTGTTGCTATTGAGATTCATGTTCACATTGTGGTTGAGTCGTGGGCTATGTATTGTGGTAACATTGATATTGTTGATTTTGGAAAAGTTGTGGAGTATGGGCATGTGTGGTGCGAGTTGATTATTGTGTTGTGATATTGATGCATATGCGACGGTATTAAGATAAGGGTTGATGTGCATGCGGCAGCATAAGGTGGGATTTATATGTGTGTTGCTAATAAGGGAATTACTTGAAGCCACACAGTGAGATAAGGGGGATAAAGCGCGCGTAGCTATTTCAGAAAAAATATTTTTAAAAATATAAATGAAAGGCTCACACGGAGATATAATGAAGATTGTGATTGTGACTTATGAAATGTGAATATGAGGTGTAGTACTTCGGTATGATCCTTGTTGTACATTTTATATTGGAAAAGCTTGATCTCTTGCACGGTTGTTGTTCTTGTTTCCTTATTTCTTTCCATTAGTTTTAATTGTTACTGGTTACTTGTTGTCTTATCACATGTACTCTCCAGTTGTCATTTGTTGCTTTACTTTTATCGTTAGCCTTGAATTGATAAATTGCTTATTTGTCTTTTAATTGCCTTTATCTTCCGTTATTAGATTTTATTATATTGTGTTCAGGATTTCTTTAATCTAGTAGATGTCTTGACCTGGCCTCGTCACTACTCTACCGAGATTAGGCTTGATACTTACTGGGTATTGTTTGTGCATATCCGGGTACATCTGCTCGTGCCGGATGCTAGTGATTGACCAGTTATTCCGGAGACTTCAAGGTATACCTGCTCTCGCAAACCTCGGAGTCACCTTCTCTTGTTGCTTTACTACTGTTTATCTTTATTCCAAGCAGAGTTGTATTTAGAGATTATTAGTGCATTCTCAGTAGAGCTTATGACTCAGTTCCACAAGGCTTTAGGAGTTATTTGACAGTTGTACTGTTGGGATTTATTTATGATAGTTTAACAATTTAATTTGATATTGAAATTGTTATTCCTGCTATTTATCAATGTATATTAGGTTTATCTAGTCTTAGAGACTAGGTGCCATCACGACATCCTAAGGTGAGAATTTGGGGTCGTGACACTTACAGAGTACATAGGGTTGGTTGTACTCATGCTACACTTTTGCACTTCTTGTGCAGATACCGGTGTTGGTCCTAGTGATGCGTAGCAGAGACTGCTCGAATTCGACTGCTACAGGAGACTTGAGGTAGATAAATAAATAATTAGTATATTTTCTTTTTTATAAATAAATATTCGTCTTTATACTACAATATATGTAGAAAAATCAAATAAGTTTTTTAAAATTGATTTCATATAAAAATATTCCCCAACATATGTTTCTTTTAAAAAGATAAAGTGATGGACTGGTTATGAGGGTATTTTTGTAAACAAACAATTCTCTTAGAAATTGTGCAATGTTTTAATAAATTAAACCAAACAATGGATAAGAAACATGTCAGCATAACTAATACAAACATAACTAATACCAACATTATCAATAAACCCTATTCAGCATTATTCTTATGCACCCTACCAAACGACCCATAAGGTTCTTGTGTGTGAGGTGGAAGCACAGATCTTCCTAGAACGTATCCCCGTAATCTCAGCCAAAGAAATGCCCCAAATCGAGTCCTTGTGGCTTTTTCCTTGACGCCTTCCGACTATACATTTGGAGCATGTTTGGACATAAGAAAATTTTTACTTTTTTTCGAAAGATTTTCACTTTTTTCCGAAATCAGTGTTTGGTCATAAATTTTCAAATTTTCACTTGAAGATGGATTTTGAAATTTTTCGAAAATTTAAAAAACTCCAAAAAACTGTTTTTCAAAATTTTCACTCAGATCACTCACAAAACTTCAAAAACAACCCAGAATTATATTCATGTCCAAACACAACTCTAGTTTTCAAATACCATTTTCACTTGAAATTGTTTTTCAATTTTTTCCGAAATTTTACAATTCTTATGTCCAAACGCCCACTTGATGTCTTTTCGAACTTTTCGTCATGCCTCCAGATTTTATATATATATATATATATATATATAGTTATTGTTAAGCTTGAAAATAAATATAGATGTAAGTTAGGGGTTAAAATTCACATAAGGATATTTCAAATTTTCAAAAAATCATAAATCATATTCATTCAATTCTTGCTAAATATATATTGACTTATAAGTTTATCCATAACTCAAATAGATTGAATATGTAAGTTTTTTCGGATTGATATGTGTATTAAATATGTTTTTCATATGCTAATAAGAAATTAAAAATATATATATAAAATCCACGAAATCAAAAAGATTGATTTGGTTTAATTTCAATAAAATTAAACTATAAACATCCCTAAAACTAACAAATGAGGGTAATACTTTTTCTAGGAATTCCTTTTGGTAGGAATTTCTTTTTTTCTTTTTCATTTTAATTTCTGTTTCTTCCCTAGCAAGTAGCAAGAGTCAGATTGACAAGTCAATCGACAAATGTTTCTGTGGAGACTCTACCACTTCCCCTTTCTTTCACTACTCTTCTTCCCCTTTTCCTTCCTCCCCTTTAAATACACATACACTCCAAAGAAAAATGGTATTTTGGTCCTACCCACCAACCCCCAAGCAGCTCAAACTCACTCTCTGCGGCGTCACCGCCGGTGCTATCCTCATCACCGCCGGTGCCTATCTTTCCTTTTCCAATATTGCCCCTCAACAAGCCCGCGTTAAGGCCCGAAAAGATTATATCAAAGCCCGACTCAAACAGCTTGTACAAGAAGATTAAAGCTTTTGGTAAATTTTTGGGTAAATATTTGTTCTTTCCTTTTATTTTCTCTTGTTTTATAAATAAACTCGTGCTTTTATCCTCTTTGTTAGAAAAGCTATAGAAGTTCTAATTTTTGCAGTAATGCTAATTTCAAATTTTGAGTTGGGGGCTGGGATTATTATGCGATTCATTGGGAATGTGTGGTATGTTAAGTAATTACTGGAAATTGTTGTAAAGCATAATAAGGCTTATTGTTACAGTTTCTACATTTTATGTGGGGAATGCAACTAAAAAAATAGTAAAAGAAAAAAGTAATATGTTGAGGCTAGGAGGACTTGATTGCACCTCAATAATTTGCTGAGCAATTATTAGGGAAGAAGAATAANTGTTGTACAGTATAAGTCACAAAACTATTTTTTGTATCATTTTTTTTTTTTTGAAGAACTATTTTTGTATCATTAAAATCACTGAACTATGTGTTGATTTCTTAGAAAATACTTGTTCATGAGATTGATTAATATGTCCAAACTAAGAGAGGCTGTGGAATGTTACCTTCAGTAGTTACTAAGAGAGCCATCTCCTCATCGCCTTCTTTGTGACTCTTGAGAAGCTATGATGGAGTTCTCCATTTCCCTGCCTGACCTGCAAGGCTGCAATTATAATGTGTATTCTTAAGCTTTGAGCTTCTTGAGTAACTCTGCCATCTTCCCCTCTATCAATAACCAGTGCTTGGTGATTATATGTTCAATTTAGTGATTTACTATTGTAGTGCTTAGTGGTTACCAGCTCAAGAACAAGATCAAAGTAGTTATAAGTATCTTGATAAGATAACCTGACATTACGCGAATTTTGCACTATTCATAAACAGCTTTGCTCTTTTATAAAAATGTCCAGACCTATAATCACTAGTGTAGCCCACTTATACTTATAAAACAGAAATGCTAGCTACTGCATCCAAATATCTTATTGACTAATTTTTTGCAATGATTTACGGCTGAGTAAAGCAGATGGACTTGCCTGTTTGTGTAGGGCACGTTGACCAGAAATTATGTTGTCTTGACAGTGTGGACAAGTTCTTTTCTGAAACAATTTTGTCATCAGTACTAATGCCATGGTTGAAAAATCATGTTTATTTCACCTGCTAGTTAAGCAAAGGTTCTTTATAAATTTTATCAAGGTTCCTTCGCGTTCATCTACTTTCATGGAAAACTTTTCCGTGCTCACTTATTGCTTTTTCCATCATTCAGTACTTATATCACGCTTTTTGTTCTGTCGTGTTATAGCTTGCTCTTGGAGATTATGCTTGCACATTGGCTCTTTGATTGAATTTTCCTGCCTGTCATCAGCAAATGATTCCTGTTTATGCTGTGTGCCCAGTACTATACCGTGGATACAAATGCTGCATTGTCTGCGGCATTTATCATTAACAGCAACAACTGGCAGCTCACCTCCAGCTTTGGAAGGTATGTTTATGAATTTTGATGTAGTAAGAGTACAAAAGGGGCAATTACACTTTGGCCAAGGGTATTTCTTTTTCCTGTAAGTCACTTGGGCCGGTTCTGTTTTGGACCCCTAACTGAAAATTGTGCAGCTTGAAGCATTACAGTTGTTAAAATGAATAAAAGCCTCATGCATATAAGATAGTGTGTTGCACATGGCAACATTGGGGGCAATATGTAGTCTGATACTTGTAAACTGCATTGGGTTAACCAGAACTTCTGGATATCTATGGATGAGAAATCTCTCTTGTATGGACTAGAATGGGCAGATAAGGGATTGAGTGAGGCGGATGTGGGATAGATGAGTAGAAATGTAGGTTCTCCATATGATGGTCCTTTTGAAAAAGTATCAAATATGTTTAGAATATCTTCTACATAGTTTTGGACGCCATCTTGGTGTCGTATTAATGAAATTCTAATTTATCCAAAAAAAAAAAAGTTGAATCTTCAGTTGATCTGTGTTACTCGGACTCTTCAAAAATGTTGTTGGGTGCGTGTCGGATCCTCCAAATTTAGTGCATTTTTGAAGGATCCGACACGGGTGCGGCAACACTTTTGGAGAGTCCGAGCAACATAGCAGTTGATTACTTTCTTCAAGGTAGCTGCTGGGAATAAGATCTGATGCTTGATGTTGTGATATTATGACACTCTTTCCCAGTTTGTACAACTTTTGGAGAAATAAGGACCCCTAAAGTCAATTTTTTGCTTGCTACTTGATGAGCTGATGGTGTTGGCAACAGTTAGATGCATGTTTCCTTGCTTTCTTAAGGGCGAGGTGTTAACGGTCGGGGATAGTAACACAAGAAATAATTTCTTTCATCCCATAAGACTTTTGTATCTTTTTCTGACAAAACTCATGATAAACCTGTGCATCCCCTAGAAATTATTTGTATGGCATACAATTTCCTTTCTCTTTTATTGTTGACGGTAACTGAACTCTTTGCTTCATATTCCAAAGTTTGATGGTTCCATTGGCATAAAATTGAAGTATGTGGCTTGAGTGAAGCTTTAGCAGTTTCCAGTTTCCCTCGTAGGAGATTCTGATAGCTTAAAATCTGTGTGAATAAACTGCAGGTGGCTTAGTTGAGGATAACACAGCAAGTTCCCAACCTTCACCTACCGTTAACCTATCACGAGCATATACCCTTGCTGTTCAAACTTCTTCCTATGGCGAGATATGGTCCAAGGTCCACCATGAGGTCCATTCTGACCTTAGTGTGGAGGTAGCACAAGTTGAGTTCCAGGAGGAGCCGCTGCAATTAGACGATGTCCTTAAACCAAGTCATGAGTGTGTCCAAGAGGCACTTTTGCATATAAAACCAGATGCCCTAAACCAACTTATTGCTAAGTACTTTGACGATAGTGAGCAAACCACTCGTATCTGTATCCTTTTCTCTCAAAGTGTAAACCAAGCTCGAGTTTTGTATGCCCCTATTCATAAGCTTCTCGATGTCCTTCCCCTGGACATGGAGTCTGCTGGACATTCCCTTTCGCAAGCTCAATGTGATTGGGCGTTTGACATCTTCCTCCAATTTGACAGCCTCGCCAATCCCTTTCCTGGACGTGACACCCATAACTTCAATGATATGCGTCATTGCTACTTCCAGCTAAAGAGTGAGCTCGACCTTCTTTTACGCAAGTCACGTTCAAAGGTCCAACTTCTCCGCCATGCTACCAGAGGCTCAGTCGTATGTTTAGTTGCAGCTACTGTTGGAGTGGTCATATCAGCTGTTGCTATAGCTACTCATGCTTTTGTCGCCCTTGTTGCAGCCCCAATATGCCCTGCTTTCCTCCCTTCAAAACTGGCAAAAAAAGAACTAGTCCATCTGGTGCAGTTCGATGATGCAACAAAGGGGATCTTTTTCCTCCACAATCACTTAGAAACAGTAAATTGCTTGGTAGGCCGATTATATGATGCAGTGGAATACTACAAGCGCCTTGTGCGCTTTGCGCTAGAGAGAGGAAAAGACCGGTACCCGATCCAGGAGGTAGTGAAGCAACTTCACGGGAAACATAGCAATTTTCTGGAAGAGCTGCTGGGTTTTGAGGAGCATTTGTGCCTATGTTTTGCTGCAATAAATAAGGCCAGAGGCCATCTTCTCAGCTATCTCCTCCATCAAAATCAGGATCCTGGATGATTAGTTCGCGTAATACTGTAAGTCACCCTTCCTCGATTTGTTTTTGGCATCTTTTTTGTTTTCTCTCCTTGGTATCTAATTATTTCTGGCATGTTAAACTTGCTTTTTTAACTTTTCTGTGATTGCATAGAGGCTGCTGGACTTCATATTCAAGTTTCTTTTGGGTTT